ATGAGCTTCCAATACTGAAAATATGAAAACTGAACAAGCCGTAACTCCAATCAAGACCTCTCCGCAGGAGCTAGCTTAAATAAGCTTGTTGTTAAATAAAATCGATACACATCGTTCTTTTTTGTTATTTACAAAAGTTTATGGTATTTCATGGCATTATGTATTTGAGTATAGATCGATTTTCTAACCCGGAACGGGTGAACAGTTTGAATATCCAAAATCTTTGGGTAATACATTTTGACAAGAATCTATTTCAGTTATAATAGAATTTAACAAGTAAGACTAAAAAGTTTACAGAACGAAGCCATGTTTTACGTTGTTTTCTTATTATAAATGTTTCATTTAACACCTCTGGATTTATTGTTGCAATGAAATTAAAGTGATATTAAAGGAAATTATTACAATCGAGCAAAATATTTAAGAGATTAACATTTTAACAAATGAAATAAACAAATTTAAGAAATCATTTAATATAAAATATTACTGTAAATATTTAATAAATCATTAAATTTTAATAAAACATTTAATAAATGAAACTTTATTTTAACAAAACTATAAAGTTGTCAAATGAACCCATGTTTTAAGTCATCTTGTTGGTATAAATATTTCGAGATAGAGAATTATTTTACAATCGAGCAAAATATTTAAGAGGTTACAGGATTTGCTGGGGAAATTGCATACAAGTATCTGTTACTTTTTTTTTTCAAGAAAAGCTTTTAATAAGTAAATTCAGCCAATGAATTAATAACTATAGATTATTTTATTAAAGGTCAATTTTTACTTGAATTTCTCTACATTTTTTTAATAAATTCCATTGCTTTTTCTTTATATATTTCCTTTTTTTAGACACGGAAATTCTTTAATAAATACATTTAATCCTTAATGCTAAAAGTACATATAGTTTTATTAAATTTCAATAACTAATTCAATTTCCATCGACTGTTAAAATGCGGGAGTATATATATATATATATATATATATATATATATATATATATATGTGTGTGTGTGTGTGTGTGTGTGTGTGTGTGTGTGTGCGTGTGTGTGCGCGTGTATTAGATTAGGTTTGTGCGTTGAATCACATTTCAGCTATTATTGAGTATTTAATGAATATGTTTCACAGTATAAAATCACAATGAATATATGCACACATACACATATATATTTGGGGACTGGATAAAAGAAGAATCTTTCTCTCTCTCTCTAAATATATATATGCGTCTGTGCGTGTGTGTGAATGATGTATATATTTGTGTGTTTGTGTATGCATTAGGTTAGATTTGTTTAACAACATTTCAACTATCATTTAGTGATTTAATAGATATAAGTCTCTCAGTATAACATGAATGTAGTATAGACTTCAATCGTTAACACTGGCGTGCAACGTCCTTAAATAATATCGCTTTATATGTGACCAAAAAAGGACAACACACATATAGCGGAATATGCGTGTATAAACGAAGAAATAATAATCTTCAAACGCGGATCTACAAATTTGAATAATTTTTTATTTACTTGTGCATTATTTTTCTTTCTAACTGAAGGAAATGAATTACAAAGATACTTTACGAAGAACTTCACACAAAATGATTTATGTAACGTTTTTAGAGTACAACTAAATGAATTGCGTTAGTATCTGATGAACGGAAAGAGCAGATGTATATGCCGCAAGTTTACATTGTGTACACTGTGTGTATGCATTTCAGTTGTTGTCCTTATGGGGGAAAGGCAGGGAAAAGCTAGACGCTACTGTTGCAGCATGTAAACAAGTTAGCGGAATGTCGTCAATATCGCTAAACGTAATTTTTGTAATGCTGTATACTGGAATAAATATTCCAAAAATGTCAGTCATTAATTGTGAGGATTTCAGTTTCGTTTGCGAGACAAACGGTCGAACAAACACCCTGGTCAAACTTTCACTGAAAGACTAGTTAGACGACAAGAATTAATCATATTTATAATAACAAGGAAGGGTCCGGAGGAATATAAAATTTAGATTTATTAATCGCAAGTTAATTGGTTAATATATATATTTTTAAATGGTCATTTTAAGAAAGAAAAATATTATTGAACATATTCTGAAAATGTGTCTCTAAAATTTCATCCAAAGATATTTTACCGTCTACCAATTCGAAGAATACCACACGTCTAGTTCAACGTAACTGGTTGGTTAATATACTGGGTGTAGCAGCAAAATTGTCCAAATCGTATAACAGCATAATTAACTACCCCAGAAAATGTTTACTATCTAAAAAAAACACTAAACTAATTCAGTTTCTTTTTTTTTTTCAAGTTTTCAGATGAGACATTTAGCCATCTTGGCACCATTTTTCATAAGAATCACTGAAAAACCCTTTGAGTTATTCAGATAAATAGAGAGCAGGTTCAAACTGTTTTGTGTCAGATTCTTCCCAACGGAGCAGTAGTGAAAGGAAAAAGGATCATTCAGGCCTTCAGTAATGGTACCAACATTCATACTCTGGCTTCCATCTTCAAAGTCCATTCAAGAAACATCAAGAGAATGGTGAATGAGTTTAAAAAAGAGGGAACAATAGA